GTTATGAAATCCATGCACCACTTTGCTCACTAATACTTGGTACAGATTAAGCTTATAACATTAGAATCACGCACTTAACATAAGAAACACACTTTAAAAACAAATGCAAATTGTTAACAACAATATTTAATCAAAGAAAAATCAATTAAATAACAATAAAACAATAAGCTGTTAAATTATTAACTCATTTTTCGTATGATTAGATTATGCATACTGGTAAACCAATTATTGCCATCTATAAAAATAATTGGTTTTTCTTTTCCGAGTCGGAGCTCTTCTACTAGACCGATTTTCATAATTTTGGCCTTAAGCCGGGTTTACACTATGTAGCTAAACCTGCTACATAGCAGATTTGTGTAACATCTAGCAAAGTTTATATAACATTTGCTAGAAGTAGAAAAAGTAACTTTACAAAAGTGCTATATAACACTGCTAACTTATATGTAGCAGATCCTGCTATATATAGCTAAAATTGTGCTATCCATCAGGAGTCGGTAAATATCAAAAGAAATACGTGCTACATCCAACATTGCCATATGTATAAATGATATACATATATTTTTCGTCTAGCATCTGCTATATGTAGCATTTAGTGCACACAGTTCACAGTTATAGCCTCCTGGGTGCGAACGGTTTTGCTCAGCGATCTTTGTTTACAATGGAAGGACTGGAAACGGAAAGTGACAGTGCCTAGGATCGGGATGATATTATAAACATAATTGAACTGTTCCGTGGACAACCGGCGTTGTGATCATACGTAAAACGTTTTTGAAGTTACCGTCACCTTATCTAGCGTTTTAATTATGGATTGTCAGCGTATTCATCATCATTAAGGTCCCGTAATAAATCTGCTACACTGTACTTATTTCTCGAAGCAAGAAGCGGTCAAACCTAAAACTTGCTAAAATCTTCGCTCCCGTCTGTCTCTCTCTCTCTCTCTGACTTCCAAGATCACCACGATAGCTGCCACAAACTATGTCTCCTCAGCGCACATTTCGATACGGAATGCGAATGAGGTTGTACTACATATTATAACATATAGCACGAGCACCAGAATCACTAAAATTGTTTGTAAATTTTTCATACAGCAAAAGTTATAAAGCAATGTTATATAGCAGGTTTTGCTACATAGTGTAAATCCGGCTTTAAACTAAAGCTATGGACGCACCATAGATTTGCTATTAAGCATCAGCACTCATTTTGACGTATATTTTGAGTTATGCACAAACTGCCTCCCTGTACATTACTTACGGGAGTTAAATTTGTTTTTTTCGAGTTCGTTTGGCTCTTCTACCGGACCGATTTTTATAATTTTGGTCTCAAAGCCATGCAAGCACATATTTGTCATCATTAATCCATCAAATGTATTACCCTACAAAAACAATTAAATTGGATTTTTTTCACAATTTTTACTTCAATTAAAAATGTATTCTAGCAGTTACATTATCCTATATGTTTTTATCTAAAAATATTCAGTGAAATACCAGATTCCATTGGAATTATTGATTATTGAGATCGGACGTACCTAAAGCACACTGCTAAAACATATACGACCCAAATTGTTTAAAAATGGAGTTATCTATCATCGATTTATAGTTAAAAAGATCTTGCTTGCAACCTCAACAGTACCTAGGCTAATTGTCGACGTTGACGGGTTTCACCTAGCAAATCTTAAAAAATCATACTTTCATAATTATTTGAAAATCTACACGAATTGCTTTCCAATGACCCATTAGTTAATAAAATCGGTCCAGTAGAACTCTAGATTTAGTTGTACACATATGTTTAAAACTGAATTACTAGATTTAAATGAAAATCAATTAAGACAAATGGAAATTCGTTTAGTCTGCAGGTTTGCTGCGGCGGGGGTATTTTGTACTACAATCGTATTTCTAAATAGTGCTTATAACCACTATTATAACATTTTTCAGCATTACATTTCCTATAATTTGATACCCAAAAAGTTATTTTTACTAATATTAAAATTTTGACACTTTTTTAAGATGGCGGCCAAAAAACGTATTTTGCGCCACAGTACGGATGTATATTTTTAGTATGTTGATTAGAAGCATACTACCTACCATTCACAGCAAAAATCATTTCTGTTGCAATTAGTTCCACCTTAAGCTATATTTTCGATTATTTCTACTGCACTACAATAAAATTTGGCAATTGTAATTTTTTAAATCAAAACTAAATCCAAAATATTAAATAAAAATACTTTTTAGCAATTCAGATTGCTGAGTCTACATATATACAGAGTGAGTGTTAGTTATAGAGAAGACTATGTTACCTATGTTAAAAGGAACTCGACAAAATTATATAGTGAGTATAATTCGGCTAAGTTTTTAAATAATAACTTGTACACACTTTTGACTCAAAGTCCCCCAGTGCGTGAAGTTTGGCTAAGTTTTTAAATAATAACTTGTGCAAACTTTTGACTCAAAGTCCCCCTCATGAGTGAATTTGGCTAAGTTTTTTAAAATAGACTTATATACATTTTAAGTTCCTTAGTGACTGTTCAAAATACTCTAAGTGTTTAAAAATAGATTTATATACATTTTAAGTTCCTTGGTGACTGTTCAAAATACTCTAAGTGTTTAAAAATAGACTTATATACATTTTTTACAAGTTCCTTAGTGACTCAATTCGGCTAAGTTTTTAAAAATGGACTCGGGAAATTAGCTACACTCCTAAGTTAAAAGAAATACAGAGTATGAGTACAAGCATCAATTACGTCACCAATTGATCCCATGACCCGACACGCGACAACATATTACAATAGTCTAGCTTAGATGTCAAAGACTTACCAAAACAAGAAGATCCAGGTGGAAGAGTTAGTGATGATTCCGTAGAATGTCCCCCTTATATACCACAAAATTGTCTAAATTAATTTAGAACTTAACAATGGAAATTGAACAAACTGAAATTGAACAATTGAATAATTGAGGTCAATCAATCAAACATATTTGGTAATTGTCTAAACCTGCCCCAGACAGACTGGCGCCAGACAGGCAGAGAATGTTGACAATTGGTTTTGATTGGGGTCATTAGGTTACACTCACAGTCATTCATTTGAGTCAGGCATAGTTTACGCATAGCCATAAGCGTGCCCGAGTTCACGCACAAACCTCACATGATTTTGAAAATATACATGGGAATGGATGTGGATTTGAAATTTTAATGGAGTTTGAACATTTATATAGGCTTGTATTGGACGAGATCCAGGTCTTTAAAAAAGTAGCCAAAAAAAGCTCACCATTTCCAGACGTGATTTTTAGTATTAAAAAAGTAGAAAATTTATATGGGGGTGTATAGGTCGAGAGCTGGGTCTTTAAAAAAAGTGGCCAAAAAAGCTCTTCCATTTTTTCTCATTTTCCCCCTATAAAAAGTGCCCTAAAAGTGCCTCTAAAACACCGAAAGTGGGGTATCTTTCTGGTATTATATCTACTTGTACACTCAGAGAAAATATCGCAGAGGAAAGGTTTTTCATGTCTCCAGTTATGAAAAACCACAATAATTTTATTTAACGTGCAATTATTTGATTAGTCTCATTATTTGTATTCTGGCGAATAAAAATGTTTATGTGTTTTCATAAAAACACAAAGTATAATAATTCAACAATTATTGTTTGAACTTAAAAAAATTTACCATTACGCTTAAAATTGGTTCTATAAGAAGTATCGGGTGTCTTGTAGAAATTCGCTATTAAAATTTGTTCATGCTCTTTTAAGGATTTACAATTTTTCTTCTCTTATTTTATACCATTAATGATCAAATTAATTATATTTTTAAACGACATGGTTAAATGTGAGTTTTACAGAAGTTCCAATTTAACATGTGTAGGAACCTGAATAGGTATTGTGTAAAACATGTGGCTTAACATTAACTACAACAATGACCAAATAGTTTAACAGAATCTGTAATTACACATATAAAAGATACAAAACTGTTTGCTTGAAAATTTTAGCTTTGGTACATTAACAAAACTGCCTGTAGTGAGGGTCAGTGACCTAACTTGGTTCTCTAGAGATTACTACTGTCGTCATAATGAAACATGTTAGTGGAACGTGATCAGAACCCTTAGACATCACAGTAGGTTGACAACTGGCTGAGCGTTAAAATAAATTGATACATATTACTTTACGTTGGGCAGATCAAACATACTGCTTGTAATAAATTAAAAGTTTTCAAAAAATTTTAAAAATTTTGTATTTTGAATATTTAAATTGGAACATCAAGGTTGAGTATGATAAGTATGAGACACAAGTATATTGAGATTATTGCAAAATTTAAAATATCGAAGAATCACGGTTATTGAAAAAAAATTATTTAGAAAAATACAAAATGTTAGTTCAGTGAACAACCATTGATTTACAGATGATTTATGTGTGTGACTAGTGATTTTACTGTCGAATTTATTCGTCATTCAAATAACATTAGATTTAACTAGGAGTTAGGTTTTGCTACTACGGGGAAGGTAAAAAGTGTGTCTTTTTACAAAATATTAATAGTCTAGAATGAAACAAATAAATTTAAAAAAATTTTATCAACATAAAAATATAAACAATCAAGAATAACGTAATAAGTTTTAACAATTTTTTTTTCTTTTGACCGTTCACTGTACAACAGAAACAATCAAAACTTCATTATTCTTTGTTTTTGTGGACCAATCTTGCTGCTTCATCGCAGCCTACTACACCTTCAAGCCAAATGTCATCAAAATCGCACCAAAATTACTCCAGTAGTTATATAGCATATGTGAATATATATATCATATATACTTCATATATACATACATACAACAAAGCTTAACGAATACAGATTTTTTCCTCTGGGGATATCAAAATAAACGAGAAAATCGGTCTCAGGTCTAGGTCTCACCATGGCACCTAGGGAAATTTACTAAAATTATACATTTTGGAATAATCTACATTAGTATCAGTATTATTGGTTGTACGTACATGTGCGACTGGCTCATGTTAATTGACTTTCCACATGTGTTACCTTATGTCATTTCTTCTGTAGCACCCGACTAGTCGACTTGAATATTTATTGTGTGAGTAACTCTTTATATTCAAATGTCTCATTTTAAGAATGAATTTATTTCCAGTTTTGTAAACTGCTTGACTTAAAACATTTTTCCATCAGTGGTTATAGAATGATCGATTCTTCAATATTAGGTTGAATATGTTATATTGCGATATATTATATTGCAAAGTTTAAGCAAAGTAAACTTATTTCAGATAAATCTTAGTAGACATAACACACGTTTACGAGTGTTTGGACGTATATCATTAGATGCTTTACCAATACTTTACAACGAGATGAGAACGTATTTTTTAAACTCTCATCTAGAAAAGAATTACGCATTTATTCATGACTATGGAAAGTGAATCCAACAGTGCTGAAGTTATAATTAAAGAAAAACTAATCTCCCCGTTTTTAGGTATAAATCTTCATGTTTGTATAATTTTGAGCACGGTAAGTTGTTTCAGATTACAGTGATGTAGAAAGATATACTTATCGGTAGTATTATTTCAACCCTATTGTGTCATTGTTTTCTAGAGGAGAGTTTAAAGAGCATATTCTCATCTCGCTTTTTTAAGTATGAGTAAATCATCTAGTAGTACATTTAAATCCTTATCAAACGTTTTTTATTTAAACTATCATATGGTTAGTAAATAATTGTGCATTTGTAAGGGATTTATCATCTCAATGACCAATTTCAAAATCAAAGTTTCGTGTGTAATATTTGTAATAGGACAAGGTTATTCATTCGTTTATGTTTCGTCCTAGACTAATAATATTGTTGTACATTAAGCACCGCATTTGATGAGCTAGAGCAAGGTGGGTACAACTTGAAACTGCCTCATTTAGTCTATATGACTGGACATAAATGAACCGGATACGAATATTTTTATATATTTTGGATGGGTAGGACTACATCCAATTCAATTAAACGTGATAATTAGTTAATAGTCAAAAAATAATTAACAATAGTAAAGTTTGCACAGTGATATTTCATGTAATGTTCATGTTCAGGATTGTAGAAGCTGGGTCTAATATTCTCCGGAATGATGCATTCATGGATGATTCCTATCGTCTTATCAGCTGTTTTTCTCCAGATCAAGGTAATTCCATGCAGTCAAGAAACTGTACACTGGCACCAGTTTACATGTTCAAATTAAAAAGTTAACACTAACAAAACTAACGATGAGCTATTTTCTTGTAAATAATGAAATTATTGCTCTTTAACTACAATTATTTTATTTCAAAAGGTTTGTTACTGTTTTTTCACTTAACTATACGTTTTAAATACCTTATTTGTGAACGTAAAATCTTATTACAGTTTTGATAGTACAATCATCGGAAACCATATGCCTGACATGAAAAAAATACGTTATAAACACCCCAATGGCATTACCTGTACCACTAGTGAATATCAAAAGAGTAATAAAATATTAAAGTGGATATCGAGCAAAAATATAGAGTATTACATAAGATACATTTTTGTCATTGGTCCTGCATACAATAGCTTTCTCTTTTATTAGTTAATTGATTAAACCTTTCTTCATTATTTTAACTTACTTGTTATGTCTTAAATTTCTTTTTTATCCCTTGTGAAGTTTGATAAAAAATCATGAACATACCATACAATACAAAGTAAACTTTACGAGACGGAAATTAAGAATCAATAGCAAAACTATTATTCCACTTCAAATTTTAATACCTAATCTTTGGTTTCATGTCCATACACATCTAAACAACAGGAAACTGTAGCACCCTCGCTTGGTGCACCTGGCAACGTTTATCAACTCAGTTCCGGAAGCTCTAATGGGGGAAAGGATAGTGTTCTGGGTCAATCAAATGGTAATGAGATGGAGGTGAAAAGGAAAATCATCGAGTTTCTTGAGAAGAAAGAACGGGAACGTCATTCTAACTGTGTGCCTAATGTGAAACTTCCGGACAACATTTACGTCCAAAAACAGGTAATCATTGCAACGAGCAATTCTATAAGCTACGCATTTCCATATTTATTTGAAGATATTGTTTGCAGTCGTAGCATATAATGCAAGTTTCAACCTCTAGGTGGTTCCATAGATTAAATATATTCCATATGGATTCATTTTTATAGGTCCAATTTAATGTTAAAATGTAGTTTTAATGCTTTGGTATTCATACGGCTGAAAGTTAATTTTAAAGGGCTTTAAGACACCAATTCATGGACTATGTGCATTTGTTCACAAACATAGAAACCCATATCCAAGAGATGGAGTTAAAAAAAATGTGGGACTTTGTGGATATAAACTTGCAGAAGATTTTTGACATAAAAATTATGGTGTTTTAACTTATGTTAGGCAGAATGTAGACAAGTTTCAGTCAACCAAAAGCAACGTTCTTATATGTTGGTCTGTTATTTACTGTTGCTGTGAAATTATCTAAGACTATCGAAGTTCATGTTCATAAACCACCAATGTAAGTGAAGAGGGCCGAAATTGCGTTTAAACTAGCTTGATACAATCTGTATGTCAGATGCCGTTAGTTGGCCAGACCTGAAGTACTGTGATGAACAAACAAGGTATGTGTTTAACTGAGTAGCCTAGAGTAGTAAGGAATGGATTCAATAAATAGTCTGTTTGGTAGTCTCACAATGCAGTAGTCACATGTGTGTGATATAGACATTTTCCCTTCTCTATCTAAAAAATATGTGCTAAAGCCAAAGTTTTCATTTTTATCTTAAGGGTGTATGTCTAGTCAATGAACATTTTCACAAATTTATGTGGTGTATAAAGAATTTTTAAAAAGAAAAATGCTAAATTCCAAATCCATTAACTCTTATTCTCATTAAAATTACGACTGAAACATCTTTAACTGATCACTTTGATCAAGTAGGCATCAATTTGTGAGAAAACTGAGATTTTTTAGGTAAATAAATACTATTAACAAGGTCCTGTTTTGGTTTAAAAATACTACGACTAATAAAGAAGAGAGCTGTACACTTTCTAGAACAAAATCTTATAATACTATATAAAAGGGTTTTAGACTATAGACCATAGATATTATAGAGACTATAGATATTATTTTTTTTCCAATCATTTTCCTCATGATTGGACGTTTTTATATGTAAATATTACAAAATATCTTATCACTATGTCTGTTATTAAACTGATTGTAAAGTTTCTGTTGTGCGTTGTTTAGCTTGTGAGAGGAACAAACTACATTTTCAAATGGACCGGTTTCAATGTGGATTTTAATGAGGTAATAAAGTCTTCTTTTCTTAGGTTTTTATGGTACTTATTATTTAGTTTGAACTTCAGATGGTTTAGACAGCCACCTGCGTATGATTCACCTAACCACACAAACGTCCCAGTCAGAACATAATCTTTCACTGCTGTTTGGTAAGTTCGGTCCATACGGTATTATAAAAATGAATTTTTACAGTTTTTTGTAGGTTTTACTCATTTACTGCACACAATGTATGGTTTTAATTCAGGGTTTTCCGTTATTAGCTATTCATTCATTTTAGTTCATTATTTAGTTTAGTATAGTTCAGACAAGGGCCTAGTCTCCAGGTGTCCCGACGAGAGGAATTTTACTAAAAGCATTATAGGTCTAAGAAAAGTATTTATACCTAACGGTAGCCTTTTGTGATGTAAATATATTCAGATACTATGCAAAGTTATATCTTACATTAATTTAACAATTAATAGTACCCTCTGGTCTTGATGTATAATCATAATACCAAGTTTAATTGGCATTTTACAATTCAGTAGCAATGATAGGAATCGGATACCAGTAGCTGTGGTATTCATTACTTAGGTACTTAAGATTTGGCGGGAGTAGATCTACCATTTATATAATATCAAAAAAAAAGAAAAGTCATATAAATTGTATTGTTAATAAATTTGAAAAACACATTGTTTCTTTATAATGCCTAGATTATTAGCACCACAATGTTGATACAACGTTCAACCAACAACAATATACTAACACAAGCATTTTTAGTAAAGCTGTTTAGTACATCTTACGTTATATTATGCTTTAACTGTTTTACATTAAATTGTTACCATAACTGGTTCCACCTCACTGAAATGTATTAGTAATTTCTATAACTATGGACTTTCGACTCCTGAGTATGGACAGCTCATTGATTATAAAACAAATATATGGACCAGCTGTAGCCAGGTTTTTAATGAAATAGAACATTAAAAACATGCTACTACTGCATAAATGCATATACAGGGTGTTATTTTTTTAAACTTGCATCTTTATTAATGTAAAAACCGTAATAGATAGAAATATGCAGTTTGCGGGAATCATTTATTTACGTAGGGGGCCCAATTCTTTTGAATTCAACGTTACATTCACATTCCCCCCCCCTTCCCCCAACTAAATTGTTTTAAGTAGCAAGGTACCCCTTGTGACATATTAAATAAAAGACAATGAAAAAAGAAAATTTTCGATGAAAAAAAATTAAAAATCTGTTCATAAATTTGCGAGATATATCCCTCCCCCCTCCCCGGAACTTAATTTTTTTTTAATCGCAAGGTACCCCTTGTAACATATCAAATGAAAGAGCATGAAAAAAGAAAATTTTTGGTGAAATTTATTTTTCATTTGATATGTCACAAGGGGGGGGGGGTTTCTTGCTATTTAAAAAAGTTATGGGTAGGGGAAAGGGGGGGAGGGTTATCTCACAAATTCGTGAGCCGATTTTCAATTTTTTTTCACCAAACATTTTATCTTTTCATGCTCTTTCATTTGATATGTCACAAGGGGTACCTTGCTATTAAAAAAAAATAGGTTCCGGTTGGGGAGGGGGGGATATCTCACAAGTTTATGAACCGATTTTCAATTTTTTTCATCAAACATTTTCTTTTTTCATGTTCTTTCATTTGATATGTCACAAGGGGTACCTTGCTATTTAAAAAAAATAAGTTGGTGACAGGGGGGGAAAGGGGGGGAATGTGAATGTAACATTGAATTCAAACACGTTGTGCCCCCTACGTCAATAGATGATTCCTGCAAACTGAATATTTCTATATATTGCGGTTTTTACATAAATAAAGATGCAAGTTAAAAAAAAAACACCCTGTATATTGATCTACTGTCAAAATTATATTTCATCCTTGAGGTTTGAAAAATACGCTTATCACGGTTAGCTTATTTACAACTTTTGTATATAGATTAAAACAGTAACTGACAGCAGCAAACATTGTTGGAGGATAAATCAAACTACGTTTATCTTATACGGCATAAAAGTTTAAATGAAAACTAGTTTAGTTCAAGCCTTAGTTTGAGGTAGAATACATGTAATTAACTAATATCATTTTAAAGAGTTATAATAAATCAAAAACATACTACAAAAGTACTGAACTGATTTAGCGTAGCACTAGGCTAGTATTATTAAAAGGACCATAAGTATTATTTTAAGAAATTGGCCTGACTCCTCCAATTCTTCATGGAAACACTGGGCTGAATCCGACCCTCTGCTGGAGTACGCTAACCACTAGGCTAGTATCACACCCTTGCAGGCTAGATATCACAGGCTAGTATCACACCCTTGCAGGCTAGATATCACAGGCTAGTATCACCCCCTTGCAGGGTAGATATCACAGGCTAGTATCACACCCTTGTAGGCTAGATATCACAGGCTAGTATCACACCCTTACAGGCTAGATATCACAGGCTAGTATCACCCCCTTGCAGGGTAGATATCACAGGCTAGTATCACACCCTTGCAGGCTAGATATCACAGGCTAGTATCACACCCTTACAGGCTAGATATCACAGGCTAGTATCACACCCTTACAGGCTAGATATCAGAGGTTAGTATCACACCCTTCAGGCTAGATATCACAGGCTAGTATCACCCCCTTGCAGGGTAGATATCACAGGCTAGTATCACACCCTTGCAGGCTAGATATCACAGGCTAGTATCACACCCTTACAGGCTAGATATCACAGGCTAGTATCACACCCTTACAGGCTAGATATCAGAGGTTAGTATCACACCCTTCAGGCTAGATATCAGAGGTTAGTATCACACCCTTGCAATGAATGTTGTTTGGTAATGTTTATCCCTTTACAAAATGAATGAAGAATGATACACATTTGTTACGATGAGCAATGGTGAATTGGAAAATAATATTATCATCCTTCAACCTATTATGACCCACGTTCCAATGAAATATATATATGTTTTACATTGTAGTGTGCCTACCTAATATTATTTTGTAATTGAGTTGGGTAATTTAGGCTTAAATAGCTCAAAATACTTATTAAAAAGATATTAAAAACTATGTAATTAGTAAACATGGGAAGCTTATGTAAAGAAATTCTGATTGGTTTTGCAGGTGAATTGTGGTAACATGAATAGAAAGGAGAATGGGGAATGCTCAGCTACTTATAACATTGTTGAATGGAAACCTTCGGAAAACAAATTTGTCCATGAGCCAAGTTGTAAGGAAAAGCAACAAGCAATGACGGACCAAAAATAGTTGAGGATAGAGGAGAAACTATAATTGATCCAAAGTAGTAAGGCTGATATAAGTTATATATATATATATATATATACAGGGTGTCCCGGAACTCTCTACCAATATTTTAGGGAATTGCTCCTGGGTAAGAAACATACCTAAATATAATATTTAAATTGTCCGAAAGTCCTTAGTAACTCACACAGCCGCCATTTTGTTTTTTTCAGTTATTAATTTTTTTCTAAAGAATGGTTAAACATACGAAATGGAAACTTTGCACAAACATTTATATCAACTAGATAAAGCTACTAAAAAACTATGAAGATTTTTCAAATTCATAAAACAAAATGGCGGCTATTTAAAATTTTCTTTCTTAAATAACTTGAAAACCGTTGATTTTACAAAAATTTTAAATAGCCGCCATTTTGTTTTATGAATTTAAAATATCTTCATAATTTTTTGGTAGCTTTGTCTAGTTGACATAAATGTTTGTGCAAAGTTTCCATTTCGTATGTTAAACCATTCTTTAGAAAAAAATTAATAACTGAAAAAAACAAAATGGCGGCAGTGTGAATTACTAAGGACTTTCGGACAATTTAAATATGATATTTAGGTATGTTTCTTAACTAGGTGCAATGCCCTAAAATATTGGTAGAGAGTTCCGGGACACCCTGTATATATATATAATACAAATCAATACATGAACCAATTTTATACATTCATGTTTCTAGGGCAAAATGTTCATAAATAATAAAACAAAAAGTAAGTACGCATCGATATTTTTTTAGTTGCTATAATTTCTTCCTAAGAGTCATCCTTCAGTAATTCATTTTAAATTATGAAATTGCTCCTTACTATACTGTGTATTAAAATTGTTTTATTGGATCCTTAAAATGTTGAACCAATATACAATTTTTACTGTCTGTACATTTACATATACATTAAATACATTAGATACAGATAACACTCTTTATCTGTATCACTCCTTTTTCAGCAGTTTTCCTTAACCAATTATTATGATTAATGTGTCATTTTATAACCTGTGATCAAGTAAAGGGGGTCACAGTAAATAGAATGCCAAGAAATTCAATGCATTGTATATTAGTAGTTTTATTGACTTAATAACTGTCTTAAACAAAAATTATCTTTGAGGGTAAGCATATTATTTTATTAGCTTTGCCTCGGAAACAAGTTATGAACTATACTACGATGCACAACCATCGAGGTAGACTTCTGGAGTGATCGCGCCCGTGTTGAAGCGAACCGTTTTTCGGTCCGGCCGCGAGTAGCTGTGAGCAGCCCGTGGTAGGCAAGAACGCCAGCGCTAAGATGGGCGGGATAGGGAAAATCGCGACGCGCGCCTACTTTTATTTTGTTTCCAGACGACATGATTTTTTTAGGACAAATGAACGATTGAATTGTATTCTCTAATAGATTGTGGTTCTTTCGGAATTAATTTCATTCTTACTTTCACATCAGGTATATTTTTTAAACACGATTAACTTCAACTTTTAGTGTAATTTTCTTGTCAGTGACATGTTTTATTTTATTTTATTAAAAACAAATTGGAATATTTCCCTAACACGTTTGTATAATATTTTTAAACATTTTTTGGTTTTTGAAATAAATTTGGATAGAGGGTCATAACAGTCCAATTACTGTAATAATTAGAGATTGGTCTCATGTTTATAAATTAAAATGAAATAAAAGGCAATAAGAACACTTTCAACGAATCAAAATAATTTATTATTATTAAATATACATTATCTATTTGAACTCAAATAAGATAAAAAACATTATATACAAACATTAACACCTTAATAACATTTATGTCTAGATTTTTAGATCTTAAATCCTAAACATTTCTAAACAAAATCAGTTTTGGTTAATGTGCGCTGCTCGTAAACAAACAAAAAGCATCTCGATCCTATCAATGCCTGGCAGTGCTACCACTGCATTCACGAAAAATCCCAGATTTCGGGTTGTCATTCATGAAATTTATCCGTTAAAATCTCCAAATATTCTTCTTGTTAAAGTATGGCAAATAATCAATTTGATTTGAATGAACATTGATCGTTTGTATAGCTGAAAACAAATTTATAAATTTAATCTTAAACTTGATTGTTAATTTTACTCCTAAAGTACATGTGGAAAGGAAAGTATGTATTTTCGATAAGATCCTATACAAATACTTATTAATAAACGTTCTAGATTGTTTTCTGAAAATGCATATCGACAAAGCTACACAACCGGGACCGGGTACTCCGGGAGTGGCCGCGCGGTGGCGGCGCGGTACCGTCCCACGCTCGTTTCCAAACGATTTAATAATGACGCAATCATTTTATCACAAATTGGTTGATTTGAAAGTTAAGATCAACTTATTGGCTACAACTTTCCCGCTAGAAGTTTGTTTGTAACCCAAAAATAAAAATTTTCCTCCCTTAGTGACTTTTCCATGTCAGTCTCTGGTAAGTCTTCTATATTTTCAATTATTAAAATTCAAAATAATTATTACAATAAAAGATATTTATACTGTCAGAATCCGATGTTTATGTAGATTAAGAATATATAAGTTGTATTTGACAGGAGCTTTTCCGTTGAGCTACAACAGCGAGTAAACTGCAGCGCGCACGATACTGAAATACGCCCGAATTCGTTCTTGCCTACCACCGCTTTCCAGCACGGACCGTTTTTGCCCCATTTAGCGATCACTCCAGAAGTCTACCTCGATGTGCACAACTTAGGCAAGCGTTTCCTCGGTTGGATTTAACCCAGTAGGCCTAAGAGTATAATCTGTGTAGCCTGGAGAATAAAGTCTGTTCGCTTCCGAAACGTAATTGTCAAATTAATGAAAACGGAGACAATGAAACTGCTCTAGATAGGGAATAGTATCTCCAACCGTACATAGGCTAGGGAGGGAGCATGTACATGTGCTTAGTGTGAGTCACAGCAGTTAGGGGTGGGAGTAGGGTTTTGTAGTTGTGAGATGCAACTAACGGAGGGCACTCGATACACGGGAAGACTGAACCAAACTTAAGTTAACCAACTGCTTTGTGACGATTGAAGTTGCGTTGGTTAAATCCACACACGGGAGCGACTGAAATAATTGTAGTTGAAATGAGACAGTTATTAATTGCGTTCTATTTTTGTTATTACGATACTGTGTATTGTGCACATCTTATACTAGACATTATATAGTTAAATATGAGTACCATAAAATAAGCGTTAAGGTTCATTAAAATTAACTAAAAAATCTTTTCTTCTATTCAGATTTTTCGATAAACACTTTTTCCGACCAGACCTAAATGTCTGGAACAACCATTGCTCCAAATAACCCCGAGCTCATAAAATTACACGAGTTGCATGAGTAGGTGCAAAAAGCCTAAACCTATTCTTTCTCAATATTTAAATACAAATCAGCCAAGCTTTGCATTAAAAAAACGGTTTTGTGACATTGGTTCAAACGATCATGTTGGGGCCTACAACTTTGACTGTGTACATCATTTCTTCTACACACAATCTACTGTACATATTGCACCTGATTAATACTCAACTGCGTCCCTACACAAACACGCTCACTTGCATATACTATGAACACAGGTGGAATTGGTTGTTGAGCATTTTTCACCGCAATGGCTCTAATACTCACAATGAATTAAACGTAAGTGAGTAAGAATAAACATGCTCTAATACTCATAATGGATTAAACGTGAAGTGAGTAAACATATCCCTAATGACACTCTGTGGCTATTTCAACAATAAAATCCTGGGTTTTAACTCAACCTCCACCACCATTATAAACCCTTCAGAGAGTCTTACTTTTTGGTTAATTTCATACGCACTTCAAATATAATACATATGTTTGATTAACAACTGAATGCAATTCAATAAATACATTCAACCCTTTTCAGAGTAACATTCAAATTGGTTCAATATTATATAGAACTACCTTGTACCCGCGGCTTCGCCTGCGATGAACCATCATCATACGGCATAAGAAATATACAGAGTATTACAATCATAAAGTCGAAACAGGTGAGACAACTGGATACTTGAAGGTTTCCAAATTTTTGTTTACTTAAGTTGATACTCGCAGCTTAAAAAGTAGTTTACTTAACAATTTAATAAATGTTGATTAAATGCCTCCCCCTCTACATAGCAAGTAAAGTCTACTGTCTTTATTTCTCATATCATATATTGTGACGTAATACTGACCGTAAGTCCTAAGATAATTCATTTAATCATTTTATGATTTACGTCACGTATTACGTCACAATATATGAGATGAGATGTAAAGACACTAGTCTTTACTTGCCATGTAGAGAAGGGAGGTTGGAGCTTGTTTTGTGATTGACAGTAATCCCAAAACCAATTGGTAATCTCATGACCAAACAGTTAACACGATCCGTCAATCACAAGCCAAAGATGCATGGTATATGAATCACACGTTAAATCGACTTAAAGGTAATGCATTTAACTAACATAGCATTTACTGTAGTTGGAAATCTCATAACTAATAATTTGTTTTCATATTAGTAAAAGCGTTTGTATATTTCCCAACTTCCATTATGTAAATATGATCACTTTATTTGGAGAAACGTATATTTTCCATAATAGATATAGCTTTGAAACTCGGTTTTTAACCCATCTTCACTGTATAACATGAGATAAACTGCTTAAAATTATTTCGTTTTAAATAATAAAATGCTAAAAGAGCCACAAACATTTACAACATTGAAACAGAACATAATTAAAACTTTGGCAGCGCACACAAAGACAATTAAAGTTTAAGAGCTGGTGAATCTCTATTTAATTAACGTAAATGTTTAGCTAACTCCTTCTAATGATTCTACAATTATTGTAGTAAATAAACAATTATATACTGTTGTATTCGGTTTGATATAGTATAATTTTACTGAGGATGCATTGGGATATTATATTGTCGAAAATAAACTCTTACAAATTTAAACGATACTGTTAGAAAGACATTTTTCTGCAGATGTGCAGAATCCCTTTATAAATTGAAATAGGTAAAAAATAAGCACAAAAAATTAGCTTTTAAATAAAAACATTATCACGGGCCTTATAGGTTGCCATGATGGTGACGAAATAACAACCAAATATATACAGAAAGTCAAAACAAATTGAAGAAA